GACGGGCTTCACCTTCAGCGCAACAATGTTCGGCGCCATCTTCGGCTACGGCATCATCACCCTCTTCACAAAGCTTCTCCCGGGCGTCCCCCTGATCGGGATGAAGTTCGGCCCCCAGGAAAACTCCATCATTCAGGCCTCTGCCACCGGCGCCGGCGGCATGTCGGGCGTCTTTGTCGCCGGTCTGCCCGCCATGTACCGGCTGGGCCTCCTCTCCGAGGACCCCAAGTCCGACTTCCCCCGGATCCTCACCATCACCATCATCTGCGCCTTCTTCGGCCTCTTTGCCGCCGTGCCTCTTCGCAAATTCTTCATCATCAACGTGGCGAGAGAGCTCAACCTGGTCTTCCCCACTCCCACCGCCACTGCTCTGGCCATTCGATCCATGCACGCGGTGGGGTCCGGCGCAAGCGACGCCATGAGGAAGATCAAGGCGCTCGGCTTCTCGTTCCTCGGCGCCCTGACGCACATTGTCGTGTCGCAGTATGCCAACGGCATTCTTCACGAGTGGCATCTCTTCACCTGGTTTTATGCCTGGTTCGTTTTGCGGCCCCCCCCTTGCCCATCAGACAGACGTCTTGACTCTTTTTTTATCTCACACGGATGACTGACTGCATGTAGGAGCGGATACACCAACTGGGCCATCAACATCGAGAGCTGGGGCTGGTACATCCAGTTGACCCCGGCCTTCTTTGGCTCCGGCATTCTCGTCGGCCTCAACGCCGCCCTTTCCTGGTTCCTCGGCACCGTGGCTGCCTGGGGCCTCATCGGTCCTCTCCTGGTGCACTATGGCGAATGCATTGGCGAACAGGTCGGCGAGGGCAAGTGGGCGGAATTGACAAACTTCAACAAGCTCAACGACATCACCAAGCCCGGATTCGTCCCTTCGCCGCGCTACTGGATGCTGTGGCCCGGCGTCATGGTTCTCCTCGTCTACAGCCTGGTCGAGTTTGTGCTTCACATCCGGGTGGTCTGGGACGGGGCCAAGTATGCCTTCAGGTCCATGGCCTCGTCCATCAACGGGGGGCTCAAGTCCAAAGGCAAGAGTATCAGCTTCTTGGAGAAGCAAGCCGCCAAGCTCGAGGAGGAGTCTAGCCTGCTCGAGGACTTTGCGCCTCCCGAGCAGCAAGTGCCGGGTTGGATCTGGGGCCCCGGCACCCTCGTCATGGTCGTCGTGTCTTGTCTCGTCTGCCACTTTCAATTCAACATGAACGCCGGGCTGGCCATCCTCGCCTGCGTGCTCGGAATCCTCTTTGCCTTTCTCAGCATCTACGGCGGCGCCGTCACCGACACTGCACCCCTGACGGCATCATCCAAGGCCTCGCAGTTGGTGTACGGCGGCATCACAAAGGGCAATTACAGTGTTGCTGATGCCCAGCGAATCAACCTGATAGCCGGCAACATCGCGTCTGGCTGTGCAGACGTTTCCAACAGCTTGGTGTCCGACTTTCGGGTCGGGTTTCTGCTCAAGACGCCCCCCAAGTATCAGTTCTACGCCCAGGCCATAGGCGCGTTGGTCTCGGTCTTCCTGGCGCCGGGAATCTTTGTCCTCTTCATGTCTGCGTACCCGTGCGTATGGCGTACTGACCTGCCAAAGGAAGAGGTAATGCGATGTCCCTTCAAGGCACCCTCGGTCGTGGCGTGGCAGGCCGTTGCGCAGGCCGTCACGGCGCCCGAGATTCCCATTCCTCTTTCGTGCACCATCTTCTCCATTGTGATGGGGGTTGTCGCCGCTCTGCAGGCCGTTGTCAAGAACTTCTATCTCGTCGGCCCTCGAGAAAAGTACCGGGACTATCTTCCCAATTGGATGGCGGTCGGCGTGGCTTGGGTCCTGGGGGCTGATAGCGGATACGCCAACGCCATCTTGTTTGGCAGCATCACGGCGTGGTGGTGGAAGAAGTACTTTGGCAAAAACTTTGACATGTATGCCTTTTCTGTTGCCGCTGGCCTGATAGCTGGTGAAGGGTTGGGGGGCGTCGTCAACGCTGCCCTGACGCTTGGAGGCGTCGATGGCCTCAAGAAGGGCACTTTTATCGCTCTGCCCGGAGAGGATTGGTGATGACACATTTGTTTAGCTATAATACTATGGACGTGCAACGAAGAACCTTGACAGTACCAAACTCAAAGTGACGTGCATATCCCGGACAACGGAGAAGAAGAGAGGAGTTGATGCCAGCATTGTTGCCGACGAGCCCGCAGCGTCCGCCCCCATTCTACAAGCACTCGAGGTGTGAGCAGATGTTTTTGTCGCCCATCATCAATGCCAGTACGTCGATATTGAACAGATTGCCATGACTACCATACCCAAGGGGGGGTTTCATTCTCCACACTATCGAAACCCTCATGCGGGGGAGCGAGCCCCCTTGACGTTACTCAGCATGCAAAGGCTCAGGTAAGCCAAGAGGGCGAAGCTTGCCGCTGGTCATGCTTGTGTAATGGTTGACCAAAGACACTAGGTTCACAAGCAACCCAATCATGGCTGATACTCCAAAGTGCTGGCGGCGCTGTGGATGCCGTCAGCCACGACAAACCCTCAAAGTCGGGGATCCTCTGCGGCCTGGGAACATTGAACATTGAACTCGCGGGTTTTGGTGACGACATTGGTGGGGTCTCCGCTGCGCTATCCAGGTCCCCTCCCTTGAGGCCTCAACAGCAGCCGAAGCTCTGAGTGGTCTCTCAAGTGCTCTCTCCAAACTCTGATGCCGGTCTGAGAAATGCCCAGGAAGCGCCACCCTGGTTAAAAGCTCAGGACCTCCTCTCCTCGGCGGAAGGAGCGATTCCTTTTCCCCTCATCACCTCTTCTACCACCGTTGCCTTTTGCACAAGACCAAACAACGCTCTGTATATCTATTATTATTCCTATTCCTACTCCTACTCCTACTCCTCACCATCGTCACCATGCCCGTCTCCGTCCCCAAGACCGATCGTCTCGTTGACCTCTTTAGCCTCAAGGGCAAGGTTGTCGTCGTGACGGGCGCCTCGGGCCCTCGCGGCATGGGCATTGAAGCGGCTCGCGGGTGTGCTGAAATGGGCGCCGACGTTGCCATCACCTACTCGTCACGAAAGGAGGGCGCCGAGAAGAATGTCGAGGCGCTGACCAAGGAGTACGGGGTCAAGGTCAAGGCTTACAAGCTCAACGTCAGCAACTACGACGACGTGGAGCGGTGCATCAACGAGATTATTGGTGACTTTGGCAAGATTGACGGCTTCATTGCCAAGTATGTTCAACCCGCTTCGTCTTTTCCCCCCGTGGTCTTGGATGCTAACAGCAGTGTGTCATCAGTGCCGGTGCCACGGCCGATGCCGGTGTCATTGAGGGAACTGCGGCTGCCTGGGACAAGGTCATCCAGATCGACCTGAACGGCACTGCGTACTGCGCCAAGGCCGTGGGAGCTCACTTCAAGAAGCAGGGCCACGGCTCCTTTGTCATCACGGCGTCCATGTCTGGGCACATTGCCAACTTCCCCCAGGAGCAGACGTCGTACAATGTCGCCAAGGCCGGCTGCATTCACATGGCTCGCTCGCTGGCAAACGAGTGGCGCGACTTTGCTCGAGTCAACTCGATTTCCCCGGGCTACATCGACACTGGCCTCTCCGACTTTATCGACCCCAAGACGCAGGAGCTCTGGCGTTCCATGATCCCCCTCGGCCGCAACGGACTCGCCAAGGAGCTCAAGGGCGCCTATGTTTACCTGATTTCCGACGCCAGCACCTACACAACCGGAGCTGACCTCGTCATCGACGGTGGATACACCTGCCGATAAGCGGGGGCCGCATGTGGCGGCGGTTCGTGACGGGATGCCGAGTACCATGATGTACGGCGTAAAACGGAGAGCTCGCTGACAAAAACATAAGTAAAGATGAAATAAAATGAAATATGAATCAAGAGTAAAAACTAGACGGCGCCTCGTGCTCTATCCCATTGTTTTGTCGGGCAGCGTCCATGGCCAAGGAGATGCTCGCACCATGGTGAAGTTGGCGACGCGAGAGTGCCGCTCGGATGGGGCGGAGGTTCGTTCCATGTCCAATGTCACGTGAAGCTATGCATTGCCAGCCTGTTAGTGTGAGGAGGGAGGGGTCGTCCCCTCACCTCATCCCAACGCAACATCGAACAAAGTGGGGGGCATCATTGGCCCCGCGAATTGATGGATAAAGCAGTCTGGCGTTCTGAAGCGATTTACACAGGCTAGATATTCGGGATACAGAGTCTGTGAATGTAGACGGAGTATAGAGCACCTCTTCATCTGCCATTCTCCGATTGGCTCCTGGCATTTACAATTGAGTCTCTGCAAGGGCTCCGGCCTGGGAGAGCTGCCCGCCCTCACCAAGTGTACACAATTGAGGTCCGGTGGGTCGATGCACGTTGGTGCAGATGTCTGGTCCTTGCTGAGTCGCAGTCGTTGCTGGATACATGTATTCAATGCATCTCCCAAGACGAAAGGCCCGACCGGGTGCCGCAGCGGCATCCCCATCTCCAACCGTCGACCCATGTCCGACGTCCGTCTCGCGCGTCAGCGCCAGCGGCATGTTGGTGCGCCTTGCCATCTTTCGGTGCAACCTATGTCCATGTCGCTCGCTTGCACTGAAACGCCCTGTCTTATTCAAGCTTTCGCTTCTGTGGTGACATCTTGGTGGCTGCTATCGCCGAAACGAAAACGCCATGTCAGCCAACGCCCAGATATCAACGGTGCTACCCTACACACCCTGACATGATTGGGTTTGGCTACCACCAGTGAGGCCAGCCCGAGTGATGAATACACGGGCGATTTGGTGAGGGCTAGGTTATGTCCGAATTAAATTCCGATTCATCTTCCAATTAAGGGGATAAAGTTTCCCAATTTCCCACCTCCGAAGCACGCACATCCGCGCGGCGGCTGTCGTTATTTAAAGGTGGAAGCTGCCGCCAGTATCCCATTCATATCTCCCAAGCCGGGCGAGGGAAATAGAAAGAAGAGGGAAAACACTATATACTCTACAAAATACATACACATCACGGTACAATGTCAACAGATCACGCCGTCTGGTTCATCGCCGCCGGCTTCTCCATCTATGCCATGACCAAGGCCTGCGCGTCGTCGCTGGCGGAATCGCTTCGGGATGAACTGGCTCCTTTCCAGATTCGCGCTACAACGGTCGAGCCCGGCTATTTTCGGACGTCTTTTCTCAACGCTGGCGTCATGGTCAACGCGGGAAAACGCATAGAGGTGTACAACGACGAGGCGACCCCCACGGGGCAAACGAGGAGGAAGTTGCTTGTCGTTGATAACAACATTGAACCAGCCCGGCGACGTCGTCAAAGGATGCAAGGTTCTTGTAGATGTGCTGACTGGAACTGGGCTAGCCCACGGCAAGGACCTCCCGGTGAGGGTGGTGCTGGGGCCGGATTGTGAACGAGTCATTCGGGACAAATGCTCACAGAGTCTTGGGATATTAGATGAATGGAAAGATGCCATCAGAAGCACCCATCATGACCCGTCGTGAAATATGGTGATGGGATTCTTGATGAGTATGCCCAAGTAAGAAAATAAGCGTCTAGGGGTCGCAAGGTATGAGCGCAACCACGTCGTGGGATTAAACGATGATGAGCTCTCCGCTTAACAGGATGCACTATTAACATTGTATCCACTATTTTGGACATGACAGCTATCATTCCTTCATAGGTCCAAGAAAATTGCATGCAATTTAATATCCGGGAGCAATGGTGCCGAAGCCGAGCTGTGGCGGTGACCCCGTTTATAGCAACATGGCCCTTTGTATCAAATATTCCCTTTCTGGACCTTTAGGTCGAAAGATACAGCACGACAGGAAACCCACGGTTCGGTAGCAAAACCATGGTCAGGCATTGCGACATGGTGTTATATAGTATTACAGTGTACGGAGTAATAGTATGTTCCAGGGAGTGATGGAGGCGTCCGGTGTCTCTTGTCCCGACAGGAACCGGATAATGGCGCTTGGCTAAAAGCATCAACTGGCGCCTCTGGATAAGAATCCACCTCGTCGCAGCCTGCCAATCCAGATCTCTGCTCTTTGGGAAAGTCGTCCAAGCGCAATAGAGTTTGGCTAACGGCAGCCCCGTACCGTGGGTACTGGAGCATCTCCTCGAAACAGTGAATGTGGGTTTATGGCATCAATTGATATGCGTCGTATCGGACGTAGTACGGAGTATTGGCTTGACAAGACGATGCTGGATATTGCATCTTGTGTTGTACAACATGGCGAGTGATTCGGCCTACAGAAGTAGTAGTTGCACAGCAGCCAGACATGTGCACGACGGGAGTTGACCTGGGCAACTTGTGCCGGCGTGTTGGCAAACTGACACGTCATTTTGATTCTTGTCAAGACAGTACATGCACAAGTAGTTCTGGCCCACCAACACCGTCCGCATCGTCGTTTGGGGCTGCTTCATCGCCAACGGCTCACCAAGACCAGACCCTACTTGGTAAGTAAACGGCCGACACGTTGTGGCATACATACGGCGCCTACCCCGTGCGTATGTATGTACATAATTAATCAACATTACTCCGTAAATGCACCCGTAAACGTGGCCGTGAGCCACCAGAGCTATGACCTATCGACAACTTGGGGGGCCTGTTGCACGTTGACAGATCTGCGTGCCACCAACCGGACATGTGGGCCGTCAAGGGATGCGAGGCTAGACAAGACCAGACTTGACGGTCCCAGCCAGTTGGGGCGGAACTTCTGGCTACATACGTGCATGCCATTGCAGGGCTTTGTACAGGCAAGACGTTGCTAGTTGAGGCGTTGCATGTGTCCCGTGTACGACGGAGTGTCAGGTCCTTGACTCTTGATTGCCCGATAACCGGGGCGTCTCTTGGTCTCCTTTTGCATGCCATCGATTGACGTATTTGGATCGTCATACGCGCTGCGAGCATAATGCATGCCGGGCTCGCAGTGTCTTGCAGCGGTCGCTCAACATTGACGTCCCCGAGCCGTGGATCGCCATCTGCCTCGGACCACGGAGGAGTCTGTGAGTGGTGACGATTCAGTCGGGACCCCAGCACCCAATTTGTCTCGACTTGATTGGTGGCGCATCGACAGGGACCCGAGGATGAGATGGGCAAAGCGTGCAAATGTGGTCTGAGACGCTCTCTCAACTCTCCACACAACGTCGAGCCAGCCACCACCACCACCCGACGGCCATGTCTGCCCCTGTCTATGTACTACTACTACTGCTGCACACATAATGGGCTGTATTTTCTTGGCTCAGGAAAAAGAAAATCCGCTACCGAGTAACTATCTTGTGGCGCTCTCATTTCTTAGCGCAAGATGCGGGAAAAACGGCGCCTCCGCCTTCAAACCGTGGCAGTGCGCCAACGTTGAATCTCGGAGGCCCCTGTTCGGTTGACTCAAATCTTCTCATCTGGTTGGACAAGGGCCCGGGGCTTGCTTGCCTTGCCGGGGATCGCTGGGAGACATTGCAATTTGGTGGTTTTGCGTCTTGATCCGGTCTCATGGTCGATCGATTCCATGTCGATTCTCAGCCGTTTCCTGCCCCACGCTCCGACAGACTCCTTGTAACCGTCTTTTTGCTTCTAGCTTCTCCCGTTGTCCTTCTACCTCCCTCATCTTCCTCCCCGAGCGACCCTGATTCACCTCTCTCTTCATGGTAGAATAACGATGCTGCGCGGTTTGCCTCATAATGGCCCTTGACTCCGCACCTCACCCGACGGACGCCGCCATATCGCACCTATGGCACTTCATCGAGACCCGAGGCCTGGATCTGGACGTGGTACGTTGTGTCTGGCGCTGTGGACGGTGTTGCGTACTGCGAGTGTGATTCCTCATGTATATCACGTCACGACATTACACCAATGTGCAAGACACAGACCTGCTCTTCCGCGGGAGGGATTGAGCACGGCTACATCGTCGACCTGCACACCAAAACTAACTCTTGGTCTTAGGGCAGTTCCCAGGATCCAAGGCAGGGGTCTGCGCGGAACGACTCTTCAGGCGGCGGAACTCTTAGCCAGACGGCAGGTAGCAAAGGATCGTCACTCGGCAAGTTGGGGACAACATTCATTCCTGTATCCGTCTTTACGGCCGTGTGTCTCGTCATATTCATCCTTCTGCGCCGGTTCTGCAAACGTGTGTATGCACCGAGGACCATCCCAGAGCTGAGAAGCCCCGAGTAAGATTCCTATGCTATGCGACGCGCACTCTTGAATGCCGGGGCCATGCTCATGTACCGACGTTTTGAGCATCGTACTAACCACCGCGTGCAGTGTGCCCAGCCCGGCTTTACCTGGAGGATGGCTGAACTGGATTGTTCCCTTTTTCAAGACACCCGACACCATCGTTTTGAACCATGGCTCCCTCGACGGCTTCTTCTTCCTACGATTCTTAAAGGTCCTCCGCAATATTTGTCTTGCTGGCTGCCTCATCACGTTTCCCGTGCTGTTTCCGATCCATGCCACAGGGGGCAGTGGACTCACCCAGTTGGAAATGTTGACCATAGGCAATGTCAAGGATCCTCAAAAACTACTTGCCCACGTCTTCGTGGCGTGGGCCTTCTTTGGTATGACGCCTGAATTCTTTTCAGCTTGTTTTCCCCGAGCCTCGCTGCGGGTGTCTTGCGACCAGACTGATGCTAATCCTGCCGTTTTTTTTTAATAAAAAGGGTTCGTGCTTTACATGATTGTACGAGAGTGCATCTACTACGTCAACCTCCGTCAGGCGTACCTTTCGTCGCCGTACTATGCAGACCGAATCTCCTCGCGCACGATTCTACTTACATGTGTCCCAAAGGAATACCTGGACGAGCGTCGTCTCCGGAAGCTGTATGGGGACTCGGTGCGGCGTGTGTTTATTCCGCGAACATCCAAAGCCCTCGTCAAGATGGTAAAAGAGCGAGAACAAACGGCCGAGCGACTGGAGAAGGCTGAGATTGCACTGATTCGAATCGCGAACCAGGCTCGACAAAAGCAACTGGCCAAGGATTCGAAGCTTGCGGAACCTTCCACCGCCGCAGCATCCATCACTGAATCGACGGGCTCGAAACAAGACTTGGTCGTGGTCCCGAGTGATAGCACTGCTAATGATACTTGCAGAGGTGATCTGGATGAGGCGGAATCGCCAGGGTCAATAATTCGCCTGGAATCTCTACGACGCAATCCCGATAAAGACAACGACGACACCAGCCAGCATGAAGGCATCAAATTGAATAGCATCATGGCGGACGAGAATGAAAAATTGGATCAAGATGATGGCGAGTATGAGCACCCATACGGTCTATCGATGGATCTCCCGGATGTAAGAGGATCTGTTGCCGCCCAATGGATTCCGGTACAACGACGACCATACCATCGGCCAATTGGCAACTTTGGCCGCCGCGTTGATACGATACGATGGACACGCACACGACTGCGAGATCTCAATCTACAAATATTCAAGATGCGTCGACAAGTCCGACGAGGCGATGGCATCACGTTGCCGTCGGTTTTTATCGAATTTTACACGCAGGAAGCCGCCCAAGCGGCGCATCAAGTATTGACACACCACCGACCGTTGCAAATGTCGTCGCGCCTGCTCGGCATTCGGCCAGACGAAATTATTTGGTCCTGCCTACGAATGCCGTGGTGGGAACTCATCATCCGACGCTTTGGCGTCTTGACCTTGGTCACGGCGGCAATCATCTTTTGGGCCGTTCCATCCGCTTTTATTGGCACAATTAGCAACATCGAGGGTCTAACGCAGAAGATCACGTTTCTCAGCTTTCTAAATAAGCTACCTAGTGTGATTTTAAACTTTATCCAAAGTTTTATGCCGGCGGTGGTCTTGTCTCTGTGGATGGCGGCAGTGCCCTGGATGCTTCGATGTAAGTATTCTCTCCATCTCAATGACCGTCAGGCTTTCTGGAGGATCTGACATTTCATCCCAGTCTGCGGTGCCCAGTCTGGTATTCCGACGGTAACACGAGTCGAATTATTCGTGCAAAATGTGTATTTTGCCTTTCAGGTCGTTCAGGTCTTCCTCATCACCACCCTCACTTCGGCAGCGTCGTCGGCTCTGGGAAAGATTTTGTCGAACCCTCTGGGTGCAAAAGATCTCCTCGCCGAGAATATTCCCAAGGCATCCAACTTTTACCTGTCCTACATCATGATTCAGTGCCTGATGAGTGGGGGAATGCGCCTTATCCAAGTTTTTGGATTAATTCGGCATTACATCGTCAGCCGTGTGAGCGAGGTACCTCGTACGAGGTACAAGCGCTGGTGTAAGCTCGACTCTCCATATTGGGGTGGCGTGTATCCCATCTATACCAACATGGGCGTGATTGGTACGTTTATTTCCGTGACGCGGTCGCAAATCCTCACGCAAATGGATGCATACTGACGTTTGCGTTTTAGCCCTCAGCTACTCCTGCATTGCCCCC